AATTTCTAATTATATTAACTTCATTGGATACATACATTTAACAGTTTGCGTTCTCCAAATTACCTTTCTGCATTTAGCAAACTGAGCACTGGACCTTGCTGGTGCCAAGACTTTATGGCATTTCAGCTCACTAAACACACCAAGATAGTTACTGTCAACTTATATTATTAACGAATAAAAAAAAAAAAGAACCACCACGGTTATGCTTAAACCATAAAACCCAGCCATGACTATGCAGGTCCACTCTGGTTCTGGTTTTATCATCCAACTAATATCAACCGATTAACTAACGTGTGCCAAACAATGGATCTTCAATTCAGTCATCAATGGGTAATATTTTGGATTCCGGAAGATGATGGAAGAAGTTACAGGCAATAAAGGAATCGAGAAATCAGCAGGACGAAAAAAAAAACCCTAATAAACGCATTGTCTGGAAAAAGAAAACAGAGAACTTACGTTGTCCTTGAGTTTCCGTATGAGTTTGAGGCGGAGTCCATCGAAGTCGCCATCGTCTTTTAGTTTAGCTATTACTTCTTCTTGGCTGATCTTCGTGGTGCGAGCATTGCTGCCGGTAGTCTTTTCTTCCATAAATTCTTGCAGCAATCAAACAAAAACGAAGAAACGACTGCGTCATTGTCTTTATTAATATATAAATAATATTTCATCCTTTGTTTTTGAGGAAATATAAACAATTCTTTTGATAATAAAATTAAGAATTTGAGATTAAATTTTATTATTCATGTAAAAAAAAAAAAATTAAATGTACTTTTTTATGCCGTTTATTCAGAATTTTATATCTAAAAATAATACAAAAATTAGATTAAAATATGTAAAATACTAATATTTTACTTTGAGATACCAATAGTTATGAATATTGAATTAACAATTAGAGATTTGCCCCAATAAGAAAATAATTTAAACCCCCTAAAAAAAAAATAACAATAATATTTAAAGTTATTCCAAGAAAATATGTGTATACTACCCTATAGAAATATATTTTAAAAAAAGTTAATCGTATTGGTACAAACATATTAATTACTTTTATATACTGTAATTGTTAATATTTACTGTGTGTTAATCACTAATGATAATGATTTGTGGTTATTAAGGACGGATTATGTACTTATTATTTTGATTTCTTTGTTGCTAATCATGACTACGACAAAGCCCATGACAAAACACATTTACTAAATTGAGTTAGATTGCTTTGATAATAAAAAAGAATGAGGTTATGCATGAGATATGCTTTGAGTATTTGTTCTTGTCGTTAAAATTCGAATCTTACAGAATGATTAATAAAGAGAGTCGACGCAAACCCTATAACTGTTATAAAATTTAATTCATATTTGTCGATTAATAAAATTTGAAAAGTTACAAAAATCGTCTAACATATACAAAAAAAAAATAATAATAATAACATTTGATGAAAAAAAATAATTTATAGTATTATAATTGATGTTTATTATGATATAAAAGACAAATTATTTAGCTTACATCCCAAACTTTCTGATTATTATGGCAATATGGATTCATAACCTAACTTGAAGAACAAATGGAAGAGTTTTCACCTTAAGAAAAATTAGTACTCAGTTCAAAATTATTATACTTCAAATATCTTTCTGAAAATTCAGTAGTCTATCTCAATGAAGAGTTTTGAAATTAGGTACAATATAGCTGAGAGAGCATAGGAAACTCTAACCCGTCAGCCTTAAAGGTTGGCTTCCTATTAGTAACCAAGCTTTATCAAGAAAATTATTTCACATACCCATGCCTGCATGTCATGTAAACATTGTAAATAGCAAAATATAGAAGTACACAAGTACAAGTCACAAGCCATAAATCTATTATGGGATTCATGCCTAAAATCACATGGACAAAACATAACAGTCATAAGTTAGGAATAAATCAAGAAATTTATTATTATATAAAAAAAAAAAATGTCTCTTCGGAATATCACACATGATCGTAATTGTTCAAAAGACACATTCGCATAATGAAAATCTATGCGGGCATCTATCTATGCAACATGATACTTCTTAACTAAGTGCAAAATACTTAACTTCTTCACAAAGTACTCAGGGTTTTACATAACTCTTTCAAAATGGTTTTCTTTTCAATAAAAGAGAGAGAAAGTTTACAAAGTAGTACACTTGTCTATCAAACCCCATTGTAACTCTCAAGTGTTTATCTCTCTTCTTGTTGCTCTTCTAGGCACTCATAGATTCCTGCACAACGGAGAGAGAGTTTTCTTCTAACTTTTGGTTCGATCTTATGGGCTAACAGTTCTAAAGTGATTGGTGATTTCCCTAATATAGAGTTTAGGGTGAAGGAAATTACTTACTTAGATCACCTCAATTAATACACCAAGCTAATCTATACACTGCACAACTTAAACTAAACACATGCTATACTTGCTTATGGAATTTCCACTTTGTGGCAACATTTCTATAACATACCAACTTTTATATCAGATGCAGAAAAGACATCTGTATTTACAATTACTGTTCTCTAAAATCACCATTCTCCTTCCACAATCTAAAGGAAAAAGGAGCTGAATGGGTAGAAAAAATGTTGGGGGTAGTGTTGCCAATCCAATCTGTACATGTTTGGTAAGCACCCCTCATAGAAATACTGTACTTAGTTGGTCTCAACAAATAGAGTATATTCCTGTGTACAACAGGACAATAACATGAGTCCCGATTCTAGGTTTTGGATAATTAATTTCACTCAGACTCTGCCTTTAGGGAATCTGGAGTTACTCCACTAGAACCATGGAACACTTCTTTCATTGTATCATTTCTCTGTTGATTTACGAGCCCTCTTGCACGAACGGCGCCCACCATTTACGAAACTGGAGTTTCTGCAAAAGATGTTCCCAAGCTAAACAAAGGAGGTTTACTAACTCAAAATATAAGCTTTGGTGAAAGATACACAGAGACTCACGAATCATCATCATTCTTTTTGCTTGATGACTCCTGCATCATCCAAGATGGTGCAACCACCTGTAAAGAATGTCAAAATGTTCGGTTTGGAATCAGTCAATACAGAAGATATGACTTTCTAAAAGGCTGTAATGTAGTACAATGTCCCAAATGTTCACTACCAGTAGCATAACGGCAGACCCCTCTCCCACCACCATCACTATTACCATCGGGAGAACAATTTAAAATTTGTTATCATTTCGCTTCCAATGAAAAGGCAACTACAAACACACAGACATCTTTATGTAACTCTCAAATCTCCTGAGGGCCATATAGAAAGCAACACAAAGCCCAATTGGCTTCCAAGGTAATTTGGACAGCTCTACCAAGCTATCCCTCTTCACATAATCAACCTTGACTGACGATTAAACAACGAAGAACTGATCATCAAAAAGAACATCCTAACTAACAGGTCTCCAGATATCACCAGCTTAAATCAGATGGTAGGTAGGTGGATCACAAGGGAGGTGACAAAAAATCAGTAATCAAAAGTCATCGAAAAGAAATAATTCTCTTACACCAAAAGAAGAACAGGAAGAGAGAAATCCAAACATTATTACCAAATGCTAGTTGTGAGATCCAACAAAATTGCCAATTGCATAAAAGATATCCATAACAAAATATTCTGAAGAAGTATTCTGATGGGAAGACCTACTTGTTTGATTCTTCTGCTGTGAGCTTCCAGATATTCTTCATACGACTGCAGTAAAAGGACCAGGTTGAGAGATGAGCATGCATAGGCATAAGAACGTTCGTTGAAAAAAGGACAGATTTATTTTAGAAGGGGGACTATATTAACGGTAATAATCTGGAAAGATTTTTTTTTTTTCATACAGAACACAAATTTAAATCTACAAACATATGGGCCTTGTTTAGCCGTAGAAATATACTTCTCTTGAGTTTTCATTTTTCTAGTTTCATACATATTTATACACCAAAATATATAATTTTGAAAGAAAAAGGAAAAAAATAGGGTAGTGAAAAAATATGATGATTTTGAAAAGAATAAAAAAGTTCAAATTCATCTGATATTTTCACTATCATTTTCAAATTTTGTTTTCATTTCCAAAAGCCATAGATATTCTTGTGTAAAAACATATATAAATTTAGAAATTAAAAACTTAAAACAGTTTTATACAACTAAACAGGCCTTCGATGTCTCCATCCAGAGAAGTCTATTTTGATAAACAATGTCATTAATCCACCCTTAGATAGAACCCATCTAAACTAATAAAAATTAGTTTCCTGGAATGAAAAAGAAACTGTGATTCCTCAATTATATTCGGTATTAAAATAGTGCTGTTGCTCATTAGTTTTTAAATCCTAAATGCATATATTACATCAACAAAAGCCACGACAAACCAGAGGAAAGAGAGATTGTCAATCATTACCCTTAATACCTGTACTACATCAATAAAAGCTACGATAAATAAGAGCAAACAGAAATTGGAACATTCTTAATTACATATGGGTAATGATGATTTTAGTCATTAATCACTATAATATATGTAACCATATTTCATAAAAAAGCTTCACAAATCAGAGGAATACATTTTGCTATTTTGTAGAAAAGTAGGTTTTATGCATAGTGGTCCAGACATATGAGCAAACAATGTGTTACGTACGCAGTTACAGTTAAATGAAACTCTTAATACAAATGGATAAAAGAAATATCGTATGTAATGAGTACAATTAAATGAACTATAACCAAGAGTTCATCAAACTCCACGTCAAGGTTATCAATCAATCTGCTCCAAAAGTGAATATAGAATGCAAATATGACCAAACGGACAACAAAAACAGGAAGAACGGCATTGAAAACCTTAGGAAACCATATAAATTGGTTATGAACTGGTATAGGAGGCGTTAAAACAGAGTGGCCAAACCAAATTAGTCAGGTCTGCATGAAGTAGCCAAACAGCACTGTCCAACTCCTGGGTTACATGTGCTGAGGTGCTCCCCCGGTTTTAGGTTACCAGTGAGGCTCAGGCTTCTTGTGCACGCTCATCCAGCAGCGGTGGCTGCGAACAAGTGACCAATGTTCCCCATGGCAGCATGGAAGGTAGAAATCTGGCATGGTGGTGGTATTTCCGCCTTCTAGTGGCGACTGATGCATTTGCAGAATGGATTGAGGGTGGGCCTCCAAATATGGGCTAGACAGTGCTGCTCAAGCCCATTGTGGCAGTGATATTGATCACAGCTCAATTTCTGGTCAGAGTCTGAAGTTAGCCTGACTGCATGAGAGCAATGTTTTGCGATTTCCTTCTTTTTATCTTTACTTTTCTAGCAAAATTTTTCTTTTTTTTTTGGGAGGGGTGGCAGGAATGCAATTAGGTGTTTTTCTGGTTTCTTCTCTTTGGCATGGAAAATGAAGTTACAAAATTTTGTTCTTTTCTTAAAGTTCACAAATAAGGTAGGATGAAGTTATGCTTTGATACTAAATGATATGGAACAAATAGCCTTCAAACTAACTAGTCCAAGGGTAGTTTAAGAATCCAGGAAATTTAGGTGAAAAAAGAAAAAGAACAGAGGTGACCAGAGGTAATTGGAGATCAAGGTGAGAAAATAGAAGCAGCAGACAGACTGAACAAGATAAGTTAGACAAAAAAAAATAGTGGAATGAGCACAAAAAAATAACAAGAAATAATACCAACAAAAGAAATTATAAATTTTTCATAATCTATTCTTTGTCTCAACTTGATGTAGACAAATAACGTCGAAACCAACTTGTCCAAAGATGTTTTTGAAAATAGAGAAAATTTAGGTAAAAAATAGGAAAATAGAGGAAAACAGGAGGAGATTAGAGATATAGGTAACAAAATACAGGCAGAAGTAAACTGAACAGAGCAGGATAGACAAAAAAATAACTAACAAGACAAACACTAAGAGGTAATAGGGAATCAACCCTAACAAAGAAATTCTTATATACATTATAATCTATCTCGTTTATTCCTGATAGTTATTAGTCTTTCTATAGGTATTAGTTGTAACTAATAGAGAAAAAAATATTATTGTTATGGTCCCGATTTATGAATCGTATTATGAGATTTTGTTACTAGTACAGGGTTCCTTAAGAGAGAACTCAACAATCTCCTAAAATTAAAATACTCACGAAACTTTTTTTTTAACAAGTTTTTCTGCAAATCCATTTCCAAGAGAGCAAATGATTTTTATACAAGCGGGATAAGGAACAGTTGTTCTGATGGTTATTACCAAAGTAGTCACTGCTGCACATTCTCCCTACATTTCTCCTGCTATCCTACCACACTTTTACTTAAATACCCACTTAAAGATCTTACTTAGTACACATAAAATCCAGCACATGATGAGCAGTTAATTCCAGAGTCAGCCAACTGCCCTCTGTTTTTTCTCCCTAACTTTTTTCTACTAAACACAAACAATTACAACACCAAATACATAACAGCCATTTAAAAACAGCCACATAACAGCCATATAAAACAACACCTACAAACTACACAGCCATATAAAACAACAGATGCAGATTAAATCAATTTTTTTAATTCTTTGTTTTTTCCCCTCCTTTGATACACCTTATCAAAAGGTGTCATTTTGCCGCTGATGTTCCTAACAATTAAACTAATAAAAGAGGAAATCAAAAGTTTCTATGCTTAAAATCTACCTAAAAATTGCAATTATGAACAGTAATAGTAATAATAATAATAATAATAACAAAATAATAATAGTAATAACAACAACAATAAAAATCTTCTAACAGAAAATTTATCTAGGATCTTCTTTTGCATCAATTTAACTTTTAGAATCATGCAAGATATTAAGACCTAATAAATTGCATAAACAAAGACTTTTATGGAGCACCTTAGATTAGGAGATTAATCACTAGATTATTTGTTTCTCGTTCACCCTAAATAATACCCTATCGTTAAGGAATGTCAGAGTGCTATAGTAGCTTTCTTGTTCAGCTCCTCATGACTACAAGGAAATATCAACAAGTTACACTAAATTGAATAAAGAAAATGTTATAGAACCAATACCATTTCAAGAAAATCATCCTCGGTTAAGGTACTGGCAAGAGGGCTTTCTGCAGACCAACCCCATTCTGCTTGTGATTCAGTTATAGAAGGTCTCATCCTACCAACTTTTGATGCACCGGAGGCAACATGCAAATGTTCAAGAACCCCAGAATCCCTCTGTTGTGTTACATGAAATCTGCTTGCTTCGGTTTGATAGAGTACAGAGGGATAAGGTATGGGCGCTCCAGGCCATGAGAAATGCAGGGGAGGCATGTTATACTCTTCATTCCCCAAAGAACATGGTGCATCCGTGCAAGGCCTTTTTATGGTCTGATCATACCTAAGAAAACAGGTAAAAATAAGATAAAGATACCTGCAATAATTCATGAACCTGATTCTGATAAAAGCCAATTATGTTCAGCTTTTAAGAACATACCTATACAGTGAGCCTTCCTCGTCATTCTTCCCATCAAGGAGCTCACAAAGTGCTTCCCCTATATCTTCAGGTAGTTCCTGAAAAAAACAGATAAATCCTGTTATAATTTATACTACCAGCAATGCAGAGGAAGATAGAAGTTACTACACAGAGGACACCTGGCAGTCTCTGCTAATTTTTACAGGCTTATAATCATTCAATGGATTCTTTAGATGAAGAGTCTTCTGGAAAGGTAGGTCATTTAACTGCAGCCATTTGACCTTAAAACTGCGACCCCAGGGGTTACTTTTACCACTTCCTTGACTCCAAACATTGTCCCGCCGCCATCCAACAGAAGACATCATTTGGGCATATCCTTGGAAGAAACCACTCATATTGACACTAAAAATTAATATGACTTTACCAGAATTCTGCAAGAAAAATAGAATGCTTCTACATAAAGCATTAAGAATGGGAAAACTAGAGAATTATCTCAAAAGAAAATGGATCTTACATGAAAAGCTTCTTCCAAAATTGGCTCATTCATAACTTGAGTAGCCCATATTCCTTTCTCAATTGACAATTGGATGTTATCATAGTTCAGACTCTTAATGATGAAATATCTTGTTTTGTACAATTTATCATTTTTATTAGCATGTGAAGTTTCCACCAGATCATAAGAATTTCCCCCTCTGGCCCTGGAGCGATAGCCATCCTCATCAGGTTTATAGCTTGAGCTCTCTGTAAATAAATAAATAAGTAGAACGAAATAAGATCATCGTATAAACACACTAAAAGAAGAACATGAACCCCAAAAGAACAAAATATTCTTTGCTTGAGCTAAACAGATCAACAATCACCTTCACTAATTCTTATTTAAGCCCAGGCTATTTGGCTCATTTGGCACAAATCTCTAATTTGGAGTCGTAAGTGAAGGGTTCTACCCTATACTTGTAACCCGCGAAAAAAGCTACTTGCATAAATTATCATAAGCATATATCAACCAGTGAGCGTAACCACTAAAAATCCAATAGGAATTTTTGTGCTTGAAATTACTAATCAAGCAAAACAGACACAAAAAAGTGCATTCTTATTTTAAGAAAAACAAATACAAAAAGTATTTGCATAATAGAGCTCTTTACCATTTATTAAACCACAAGCTCAATGTTTGTTAAAAGAATCACCTGCACCCTACACAAAGTCCCAGGATTTTGATAGATTAAGATCAACATGGAGATGTAAAGCTAGAATTGCCACTTCGTCAAAGGCCCTCTCCCTATCCATAGGTGGCATCATGTCAATGCATCCCACCGTGCTTTAGTCTTTGCCAATGTAAGAGATAGATGAAGCTTTTAAGGGAGGAACCAAATGCAAGGGAAAAGGAGAGTTGGGAATCCATAGCTAAGAGGACAGCAAAGGATAGTATTTGCTACGCCAATGTCATGAGCAACTATCTCTACTATGCCAACTAAGGAAGAAGGTAAAGGAAGTCAGTTCTAAAAGTCGAAAGTAGATTCTTTCTTTAATTGAGAATGTCGTGGCAGAGGTCAACACTAGACCTTGGAAGCCAGGGCTGGAAGCAGATCAGAAGAACGACAAGATAAACTTTCAGTAGTAAGAGTGCAGATGAATGAGAAGAGCTATTGCTATAGGAACAATGCTTTGCTGCAAGAGATCCCATGAAAACAATTTTGACATTGAAAAAATGGAATGTAAGGTTAACCCCAAGAAAAGCACTTTCTTTCCTTCGAAAGATGCTTAATGCTCGAATATGGAACACTGTTAAACCTCCATTACTTTGGTTTAAGGACGCCCTTGCCCCCACTTGAATTCATCACCTCAGCATAGGAGAAGCCAAAACGATATAACTCAGCTTATATTATAATCAACTCTAGCCATAGTTAGTTCCACAAAGCCTACACACCTTTGCAACAGTCTAGCAAGCCAAGATTTTCAAACAAACTATCATAACGCAGTCTACAGCAATGTCTCCAATCTCTGACAAAGCTACTCCAGCATCCATGTACACACCCTCTTCATGTTAGCTTAATGGATTTTGGAGAATTTCATCCTTTCCTAGTTCAATCCTACTGTTCCACATTTCAGCTATTTAAGGATCACCAAAAGAATTGATGTTGAGACCCTTAGGCATCTCACCTTTTCATGTATATTGATGAGACAATTATGGGAGACAACTTGGAAGGGAACTCTTAGTTTAGTGAATATTAACAGAGCAGTAGATGGGTCAGAGTTTGAATAGAGTGGAAAGACCTTTCCACAGGATGGTTCTTCCTTTTGACGAAGGACCAAGTGTGTTAAGAAGAGAAGAAATAAAATTTACAAAAAAAGAGAAGACAAGGGATCTGTCTAAGGAAAAAAAAGAACACAGAAAAGCCCGAACAGGAAAGATTATTCCACTTTCTTCGCAAACTAGATAATGGTATCTGCCAAACAAAATCTCTGTGATTAACCCACAAACAGAGAGACAAAATAATACCTTATTGCAAATCAGAGGAGAGTATTGGGCACATGTACTAAAATTTCTGGCTCATAAAAAACTTGCTTAATAATCTTTGCATGTAAACTTTTGGATTATTGACTGTACTCTTGTGAATAAAAGAGAGCTTAAGAACCAGACAGATCTATTTTAGCACAAGTAGGAGGCACCATCTTGGAGGCCTTGTAAATATTACTACTTTTTGGTCTATTGAAACCAGGATAAAATTGTATTTAGGGTGTAAATTTCTCTGTACAGACACATCCTACCTTGTAAGAAACACTAGATTATTCCTGCATAAACACTTCAGCACTAATGAAACAACTAAACTTGTTGGTAAAAAAATTTTCCCAAATTTTTCAGCACGAGAAACTTTAAATTGTTTGATCTTGACTTCCTACAGACTACACACTGGTGTAAACCACTTACATGCTGGAGAAAACCAATCCCTAATATGTTGTACCTTCAACCCATGCAACCTGGAAATTAGAGGAATGTCTATCTCTATCATTTGCTATATTAATCTGAATTGTTTACACGCTGTCATGAGACCCAAACAGAAAAAGGGAAGAAATCATTGTAGAGAGGCAGTCCACATATCATAAGCAACCACACATGAAAAAGAAATTTGCATGAATGTGAGATGCAGTTTGGTAATAAGCACAGTTTGAAACTTCCAATCTGCAGTGCAGTTTAGATGACTGTTCGTCATTTGTGTGACACTGCAACCAGTTTATAGGTAGTATTTACCAAACTATTGTGGGATTTTGTTGCGTAGGGAAGAAATAATGACATGCTTTGGTAATAAGCACCAATTCTTATACTTCCAATCACTTGCCAACAACATTTTTGGAAGAAATTGTTAGAATCAGACCCAAGAAAATAAATAACGAAACAAGTTAAAGCCCCAAAGGTCAAGGCACTCAATCTATAGTAAAGTGACTGACCACAGAAACTTTAAAATAAATGAAAAAAAGAGAGAGAAATAAGCAATCATTTTACCAGGACCATCTGAGTTTCCCATGTCATGTTTCCATTCAGTCACTGATGAATCAACTACAGATGCATCTTCCCTTGCAGTATCAGAAGACATGTCCTTATTTCACCTTCTATTTCATGAGGCAATTGAAAAGAAAGACAGAAACAGAAAAGCAACAGTAAAGTACCAAAAATGGGATGAGAGAAAAAAAAATGAACAGATTCCAACAGGATTATCAGCTGGCAGTAAAAATATGTTAAAAGAATCACCAAACCTCCATTTTGGCAGATGCCCATGAAAAATTGCAAAGCTAAAAAAAAACATCACTATCACAATAAGCATGGAATATAACATTGGCAGATACTCTAAAGCTAAGTAAGCACCAACTGATTCCTTTATTAATTCCCTCCTAGAGTAAAAATATAGCATTTAATAAACAGTGAAGCATTAATTAATTACCTTTTTTTCATGTAATTAAACCGTAAGGAACTGGTACGTGTTACTGTGCGAATAACCCCAATCTATATCCCAACTGCACTTTCCTATTAGCACGAGTTAACTGTATAGAAACCATAAATCCAACTTTTTCTCAGCATTCAAAAGAAAATCCTGACATTCCAGAGTTCCAGTTTTACTCCTTTTTTCGCCAGCATTTTTTTTTTTCTGAAAGCAACCAAATAAAAAACTAATCCAACAAATTACCCACTAAACAACTCTAATCCACTAAACCCAAAAAAACAAAAACCCCATGGATTAAAGCATAAAAACTATACACATTACGACAAGAATAATTACATACGTAAGTGTACGACAAGTAAATATATATAATTAGTCAGCGAGAAGATCTCGAGTAGAAAGAAGAAGTAAAACAGAAAGCATACCTGTTTGCAGAGAAGGGAGAGCGGGCGAGAGAGAGAGAGAGAGAGAAAAGAGACAAAGCGTACGTGTCTGATTCTGATCGAAAGTCCTCGACGTGAAAAATCCAATCCAATCCAATCCAATCCAATCCAATTCCAATCCGACGCAACCAAACCCAGCCCAGCCCTAAATTGCTCCTGTTGCTTTGGCCCGTCTCTTCTTTTTAATTTCCGTTTTCTATTACTTGATGTGTAAATCAAACGTCTAGATTTGAACGAGAGTTTCCATCATCAGGAGATATTTTTAATGGGTTGAGGTATCTGATTTTTTTTTTATATATTTTTATATTGTATTAAATTAATATATTATTATAATAAATTTTTATATACATTAATTATATAATACACACACATCAATTATAATATATCTTTAAAGAATAACATATATAAAACAACATCCATTCTAACTCTAACATTTTATAAAGAAAAGAGACGTATTAATTACTTAATTAAATAATAATTGATAATCTAATTAAATAAAAAATTTAAAAGTTTATATTAAATTTAATGGGATTAAATTTTTTATATTACTATATAATTTTAAGTGACTTATCCAATAGATAACAAAAATTTGAGCACATAAATTATATTATTTATTTATTTATTAATAATGATCAACAATAGCAGCTTTAAAGTACAAGGAAAATAGTATGCCTTATAACTTGCTAACTTCATTATGCTCATCATGCAGAACAAAACACCAGCTTAATTAACAAACAACATTGATATATAGTGAACTTTAATCTCATTTAGCCTCAAGATTCTCTTGATTTTTTCTGAAGAGCTTGTGCTGGATATGCTGAGCGAATGTGCGAGGAGGAAATAGTGGCGGTTCATTCTCTGATACAGTCTCTGGCAAAGGCTTGAGGATGATCTTCTCCTTAGGCGGCTCGCAGAACACAGCCCATGAAATCCTCACCTTTTCCTTGTTAACCAGTCCCCTGTGCAGAATACTTTTGTATTTGCCATTACTGAGGATCTCAATAGTGTCGCCTACGTGCATGACGATGGAGTTAGGGACGCATTTTGCAGTCACCCACTTGCCTTCGTAGAAGAGTTGCAGACCAGGGACCATGTTGTGGAGTATGAAAGTTAATGCGCTTATGTCTGTATGAGCTTCCACGCCCAGAGCTAGCTCAGGTTGTGGGCATGTGGGATAGTAGTTGATTTTCATCTGGAGAAGAAGTTCATCGAGCCCACCTACTTCTTTCTCCAATCTTCCTTCTTCTAATCCCAACCCGAGTGAGAGCACTCCCAGAATTTTGCTTACTAGCCTTCTCAGTTGTCTTGCATATTCACTTGTTACCTCGCTGCAATTCAGTAATTTTTAATCAATACTGTTTTTGAGTAAAAATTTTATACAATATTAATCGATTATGTGATATATAGATAACACATAGTAGAAGAGAAAACTAACATAGATACACGAGAAAACAACATAACTTGAATCGATAACTTCTTAAAGAAAATTGGAGTTGACACTTTGACCCATGATTCTAATCCAGGTATAAATTAATTACTTACATGTAATCAGCTGGATTGTTGGGCCAAATAGCCAAATCTCTCTTCTCCTCAGGAAAAATAAGGTGAAAGTAATAATCCTCCCACTCAAGTTGGCCAGAAGCATTATTAGCAAGCTTGCTGCCATAGCCTTGAATATTTCCCGACGCCTGGTCGTTAGCATATTTCTCCTTGACCTCCACGGGGAGTTCGAAGAAGGCTTGGCCAGCTTTCTTGACTCGGTCGATGAGATGGTCAGGGATGCCATGGTTGACAAGGTGCATAACACCCCAGTCCACAGCGGCTTTCTTGAGCTCATCACGGCATCTCTGACGCACCTGCTGGTCATCAGAGTCTATGTCGCGAAGATCGATGGTGGGCACCTGGGGACCTTCGTCTTTCTTCTCTTCATCAAAAATGTTGCCTATGGTGGTTAGCTCCTCTTGCGGCCTCACGTACTCTTTTGGGATTGATTCGATCCCACTGCTAGCCAAGATCTCGACTCTTGGGACAGCAACCGAAGAAAACATTTTGTATAAGATTGTAATGTACTTGTATATATGTATGAGTGTATATGCGAAAGAAATTTTGAAGTGTGGATTGATGTATTTGTGCATGGGGTTTTTATAGAAATAGTTTTACAGAAAAATGGAAGAGGAAGAAGGAAGATAAGTTAGCCGGACACGTGACAAGCTAACCCCAAATTTACAAGTCAACAGGTGAGGTTAGTATATAACTATTGGCTGAGCAGACTGGAAGGTTGGACATATAAATTCCTACCACCTCTCAGCCGATATTATTTTTTAAACAAGTCAATTATTATTATTTTTTCAAAATTCATTATAGATATGAAAATATTATATAAAATTATAAAAAAATAATTAAGTTCATAGAATAGAGACAATATTAAGACAATTAAAAATTATCTAAAATTTCTACGTAAGATTTTGTAATTTTTATATATAATTTTCTAGTAACACTCTTAATTAAACTATATATGTCCTGTATTTTCTAATGAATTCTGTAAAATATCTTAATTTGTAATTTTATTATTTATTTGTTCAGAAAATTCTAATAACATAATTATTTTTTCAAGTAATTTTTCATTTATGATCATTCTTCACATTCGCTCTCGTGTTCATATATTCTCCCTCACCTTTCATCTTCTTCTCTCTGCAAGATGCTCGCGTGGGAAAATTTCTGAATTTTCGTTTAATTAAAAAGTTATAAGTTGTTAGATTAATCAATTAATTATGTAATTTAAATTTTTATTAAGATCTATTAAATACCTCTAAATATTAACATATATAGATTAATGACTTAACATAGCCTGTAATACAAATTTAATGAAAAAAACTTACAACAAGAGTGCTCAATTTTAATTTGAGATTTAATAAATTGCTAACCTTTAGTAAATTAGTAAATTAATTTTCAATATTTAATATTTGTTACAACTTATTTTTTAATATTTTTAATTCATAATATTATGTGTTTATTTCAAATGTGTAGTTACCTTTTATTTTTTAACGAAAAAAAGTATAAATAGTTATGTTATATTTAAATATTTTAAAAAATAATTTTCATAATAAGTTTTATATCTAGGTGTATGGAATTTAAATAAAATAAATAGTTATGGGATATTCATCTTTAAAAATTACGTGCCAATGTCATCTTAGTAATCCTGAGTTTAATTTAATACAAAATAATAAAATTTTAACGGATCATAATATTTAATAATTGCAATTTATAATTTAATGACTAATTAAATAAAATAAAATTTTGTTAAAAAATGTATAATTCAGATGATAAATCGTGGAGGTGACATCTGGAATTTGTATTTTACTTCATCTCATTTTGAGAATATATATATATATATATATATATATATATATATGCAAATTCCACGTGAGAATCCAGTGGAGGCACGTGGACCATGAAAGTCACCTACATGTCATCCTAAGATTTGAAGATGATGCCATGGCAGATTTTGGAAGATCAAAACCAGTCATCTTCTTGAACCCAAACAAATACCTAAAAACACTAATTTCCCTCCACATATTCCTCCATTACCTTATCTCTCAGATTTCCCCCTGTCTTTCCCTCCAAACATCAATACACACACATAACCCAGCAAAGGAAAAATAAAAATTAAAAAAAAAACAAAAACAAAATGAACCTGAACCCATCTATACCAACACCATTTTCCTAGACAGACTTCAACTCTGCTCAGCATTTCTTTACCCAGATGGCTAGCAAATTGGCCTTCATTCTAACATCCCCTCGTTTATTCACTGCAACTACTAAAAAATCCATCATTTATTTTTCTTCTTCCACAAAGATTCAATCACTTGGGTTCAATGGAAAGCAGCTCTGTGTTCGAAGAAGATTGTTTATGCTACCCCCTCAGGCTACTGCTGATCAACAGGGTGAATACTTTGTTTCTTGCAGCTTTTTATGGTTTGTGAAATGAAATATATTGCTTAAGATTGAAGTGTACCTACTAATGCAGATTGGTCATGCAGTAAGATTTATATGAATTTTATTATTGGTTTCTGTTTATGGGTGGCTGAAGTTTTTTATTTTTATTTTTTGCTCATAATCTAAATTAGAAATGAAGAACTGAGGACCCAAGAGAAGGTCTGATCTTTTTTATGGGAGCTAATAAATTAGGCTGGGATCAGGATTACCAAATGCTATCCGGGGGCTAATTAGGATTAGAATTAATCATTCATATTTGATTGGTTACTATCAGAAAGTCCATTACTGATTCTAGTATTCTCTTTTCAGGCAAGATAGAAGAAGATGAAGTTGTTGACAGTAAAATTCTTCCCTATTGTAGCATCGACAAGAAGGAGAAAAAGTCAATTGGTGAACTTGAACAAGATTTTCTTCAAGCACTACAAGTATGAGAGCACTTTCTTTGCTCTTCTTTTTTACTATCTGCTACATAATGACCCTGCCAAACAAGAGGCAATTGAAGTTTCCATGTTGATTCCCCCATGAGTATTGATTAATTTTAGAGAAATTACTTTGTTTCATATGAAGGATGAATAAAAAATGCTAGGTCTGGCTTCTAATCTAACCATATATAGTTTTTTAAATTTCTTTCTTTTCATCTCCAGGCCTTCTATTATGAGGGTAAAGCAATAATGTCAAATGAGGAATTCGACAATCTCAAGGAGGAACTTATGTGGGAAGGAAGCAGTGTCGTGATGCTAAGTATGTATGGACTAAATTCTTCTTGTAGCTTTACCCAATATGCTGAACATGTCATAAATCTTTTATTTCTTGGTTTAATTCATGATGCAGGCTCTGATGAACAGAAGTTTCTGGAAGCATCGATGGCTTACGCGGCCGGCAAACCAATTTTGAGCGATGTGGAATTTGATAACTTGAAGACGAAACTAAAGGTTTGTCTACTTTGTTTTAAAAAACATGGTACACACTTGATTCAGGATACATACTTTTGGGCAACATAAAACAGCCATACCTCCCAAACACTGAGCAATTAGTAGAATAATGGAGAAGAAATTAGATTTTGTCGATACCTAGCCTCAATTTCACTTGAATCCAAGAGGATATATACAAACATTTTCTTGATTGTAACACCCTAACACTAGTTTTCTGTTGTTCATAACTGTTTCTCAGATGGATGGGAGTGAAATTGTGGTTGAGGGTCCACGATGCAGTCTTCGCAGTAGAAAGGTATTTCTTATCCATCTTGCTTTCTTCTCTGGCTCTGGATTTTGTTTCGTTAACAACTCCTTATCCTTTTGCTCAACTGGACACTAGTTAATTAGGCATGTGTTTGTCTTTCTTTTGTGTGGCCTATAGATGATGAAGGGATTTCTTCCTAGACTTCTATTGGCAATCCCTTTCCAGGACTCTTAATGTTTTTCAAATGTTTATATTGCTGATTTTCAACTTTTTGCCCGTTAGGAGCTTGTCTGAATCTTGTACTAGGAATGTTGTTCTGACTGTAATGATGAAAGCATGCCATGCTTTTAATTCAGGGGAAGGTCCTCACAGGACTATTGCTTTTTCATATCTATGTACAATCACTTTTATGCAATCTCACACACACACACACACATATCAACAGCTTGTAAAATAAGTCAAATTTATGGCTTTCAGTGTCTTTCATCTTGATTGAATATCTAATGAGATGCTAATTATGTCCATGGTTATGGTTCTACATATTTTACTCTTCTGAGGTAACAATCTGCCGTGCTTAAGTTGTCAGCAAAATAGTAATGTGATTCTAGACTTTAATTTTCAAGGAGAAAATAATTAGATTTAGGATCAATTTTGCACTTAAGTAATATATTTTGGTCGATTCTGCATGCAAGTTCTTACCCAATGATTTAACTTTCAATCTGTAGGTATACAGTGACCTTTCTGTTGATTATTTCAAGATGCTCCTCTTGAATGTTCCAGCAACTGTTGTTGCACTAGGATTGTAAGTATCATGCTCTTCCTTCTAATGCCTGTAACTGAAAAGGGAAAATGAAGAAGCAGATCAGGCAGTCGAAAAAAGTTTTCTACAGACTTACCTACAGAATGAGTTTTATCGACCACCTAGAAATCTCGATTCAAAATTTTTATGAGCCTTAATGTACTTCATTTGCTGAGTTGAGTTACAACATTACCTGAGCCATTAAGTATACCGCCTTTTAAGGGAGTATATAGGAGAATTCTAGGTTCCTTTGCTTTGTCATTCTGATTTCTATTTTCCCCTTAAAAGGAGAGTAATTTATTGCTAAAAATAGGCTTATCTCTCTTGAAAATACAGTTTGTGCAAGTATAATGTGTCATAAAATTTTCAGAGAAAATCCTGAGGTTAATGGTAGAGCATTTTTTCCCCTTCTCGAAACTCATTTTTCTTATACAAAGATAGCTAAGGTTGATTAATAGCAGTTATGCAGCATTTTCAGTATCGGTATCTTATAGTTTATTAAATTTAGCAAGCAGTTTTTTTATCTTAAAACACCTACGATAATGGGACTGTCTTCATTTTTTAACTTTTATTAACTTTTATATGTTAATTTCGAATAATTGAAGCTCACAAAAAATCCTTTGCTTGCAAGTAAACAGCTCTCATTTCCCCTTTTCCTCTTATTAGTCTATTTTGCTGGTCCTGACAGGTTTTTCTTCCTGGATGATCTGACCGGATTTGAAATCACGTATCTTTTAGAGGTAACAATTTTTACTGGAATTATCTTCTACCCTTTTCTAATACTTCAGGAAGTGGTAGATTAATTTTTACAAGCATATAACTTACCTAATTTCTTTATGAATTGAGTTTATTCTCACACTTTTAAGTGATTGAATTTGTAGCTCCCGGAGCCATTCAGTTTCATCTTTACATGGTTTGCTGCTGTGCCTTTCATTGTCTGGTTGGCCCTTTCGCTTACAAAGTTAATTGTGAAAGATTCTCTGATCTTAAAGGTAGGGTTTGTTTTGACACATTTCTAATTCCTAAAATTGCATTTAACTGTCATGGAATGTAGAAAACATAACAATGTCAATAACCAATGCCATTTTCCAGGGCCCTTGTCCAAACTGTGGTACCGAGAACGTCTCCTTCTTCGGAATTATATTATCCATTTCTAATGGTGGTACAACTAACAACGTTAAATGCTCAAAGTAAGTCAATTTCTGTTTATATATTTGTAATTTAGGCAACAAAATTTAGGTTTAGTTTAATACATTAAAGTATTTTTCAATTTTTATTTCTTTTAAAAGTTTAATAAGATAGTAATATTGTTGCTCTCTTTGCAAACTTTAACTTGTCTTGTATTACGCGGTAATTTGATTTCAGTTGTCAAACTGATTTGGTGTACGATTCAAAGACCCGCTTGATTACATTGCCTGAAGGAAGTGAAGCTTGATTAGAGGTACATACATTTCTTTTTGAGTTTTCAACAGTTTCTTTTTCTCATTTTTCATTCTAAATTCTGCTCAAAAAATTCAGAATGAAAACAAATATTGAAGTCAACTATCTAAATGTACAAGTGAAAATTGTTTCTGGCAAGTTTGTCGTGAACTAGGTGCTAACTGTAAGCAACTATGTGAAGAGTCGAAACTCAGAATTTCCTATAACAGTGGAACTTAGCTAGGTTTCAAATTCTTCTATTTTTCTGTAGGTATGTTTGGACAGGGAGAATCAGGGAATGAAAGAAAAACCTAGGAAGTGAAATATCTAATCTTGTCTGAGAGGCTATTGATTAATTTGAGTGATTAACTGAATTACCTTCATTGTTTTATTATGTTTATAGATAATAGGTTGTTATTGTTATTTGGGTATCGATTAGTTTTATATTTTTTCTTTTGCCTCGTATCTAAACAACGTAAAATATCATCTCCGTTACTATCTTGTCCAAATAATATGCAACATGTGAACCCCTGAGTTCACACTGTCTCTTCTGCTCGAGAATCTAGCAAGATAACTTAACAAATTTGTATATAATTGTTTTTATCGGTACATAATTGAGACGAAATGTGCAGGAAAGGCTCTTACTCGCTAATGATGAACTTGGAGATGAAGAATGTTGCATTATGTAAATCTTGAGTAGTCATTTGGAGTGGGAGAAGGAAGTAAGAGATATTGTGCAAGGTGGAAATTAGAGTTGTATCTCAACTCTTGGTTTGTAACAGTGTAAGTATATGTATCATGTATATGTATACCTATGATAGGTTTGTCCAGAGAAAAGCAAGAGAAAGGATAGTCGTGGAAAGGTGTAGTTTGGTTGCTTGAAGTACTTTTAGTTGTCTATTCTCTCTCAAACCATACCCTTCACAAAAGGAGAGCTTTCTTAACTTTTATACTCTTTACAAAATGAATATAGCAACTGTTTGAAAGAATTTAATTGCAATACTTGGTAAACTTAATTAAAAAATAATTCATTTCATACTATTTAAAAATATTTTGTATTATTTTTTTAAAAAAATTTAATATATGTATTTTTTTAAAAAAATTATTTAATTTATATATGTTAATACAGATTAATATCGTTAGCGAAAATATCAAGTAAATTCAAGTTGAATATACATGGCAGCTAATGTCTAAAAGTAATTACTACCTATCATATTATTATTGCATTCTATAATTAATTATTTTATTTTATGTAGAATAAAAATTATATGAATTAATAATAACAACACGAATATAAATAATTAATTCATATTATTTTGAAAGATATTTTATAATTTTTATTGGAAATTTTTTTAATGAATTTATTATAGAAATTTGTGAATAAAATGCAACAAATATATGTATTATAATTACATTTATTATATATTTCAACAAATGAGAAAAAAGCACACAAGTAATATCCAAAACCTCCTAACTATTATATACAAGGGATTATATGATTATATTGATATTAATGACCTGGACATAGATTCTTTTTTTCAAAAAAAAATATTAATTAATTAGAATTTATGGGCGCTGGTAAATATTAGATTTTACTAATCTACGTTTCAACAGTAACTTGTTTTGTATACATATATACACACACATATATATATATATATATATATATAATGTGGCTGACCAAAAGAACTGTGAGTAGGAGGCACAAAACAATAAAACCTGCAGGCACGTCAACATGCATAAGTTTTTTATAATTGAAAATATTGATTTGACTTCGTGAGGGTCACTAATCGCATTCTCCCTCTGCTTTATAAAAAGCAAATTCTATGTCCGTAAACCCACAAATTAAGTCAATCCAAACACGGCCTTGTACAGAGCAACTCAAGAAACGATGGGCTTCTCTTCTCGTCAATAATTCATGGAGGATGTTGTTTTTTGCAGTATTATCTTTCTCAATCGTCGCTAATTCTGCCGCTGCTATTTCCGGTTACCAAACCAGAATTCCTACTGTTTACAAGCCTAGCCCGTGGGCTCTTGCTCATGCCACCTTCTATGGCGACGAGACTGCCTCCGAGACCATGGGTATGTACTTTACTATGCATATAGATCATTGGGTACTTTATTGTATTAATTTAAGTATAAATATATCATGTCATTTGCATGTATGTACTGTAAATTCCAGGAGGAGCTTGTGGGTATGGGAATCTGTTCAAGAACGGATATGGAACGGACACAGCTGCATTGAGCTCAACACTGTTCAACAATGGGTACGCTTGCGGGACGTGTTACCAAATAAAGTGTGTCCAATCAAGTGCATGCTTCAAAAACGTTGCTTTTACGACGGTGACTGCTACCAATCTTTGCCCCCCGAATTGGTCGGAGGACTCCAATGCCGGCGGCTGGTGCAACCCTCCTCGAACCCACTTTGACATGGCCAAACCAGCTTTCATGAAGATTGCTCAGTGGAAAGCTGGCATTATCCCTGTCATGTACAGAAGGTACACATATATATATATATATAGTTTTCATTTATAATGACGAAATCTTGTCACTAAATATAACTATACGAACAGTTTCTATTTTATAGGTCCAATCTTTAGCAACGCTCACCTGTGTTACTAAAACCAGCCAATTATCATAAAGTATCTTCTTGTAGGGTATAATTATTTGATCTTTTGTGGTTTTTGTTTAACTGATTTATACAATTATATCATCAGGGTGTCGTGCATAAGGAGTGGAGGAATTCGATTCTCATTCCAAGGAAACGGATACTGGTTGCTTGTTTATGTGATGAATGTTGGAGGGGGAGGCGACATTCGAAATATGTGGGTGAAAGGAAGCAAAACGAATTGGATAAGCATGAGTCATAATTGGGGTGCATCATACCAAGCATTTGCTACTCTTGGTGGTCAATCTCTTTCTTTCAAAATTACTTCTTATACAACTAAACAGACGATTATTGCGTTGAATGTTGCTCCTTCTAACTGGGCTATTGGCTTAACTTACGAGTCTAAAATCAACTTCCGTTGACAATAAGACCACCTAATATCTTTTTTCTATGCTAATTTTTATATTTTTATATTTCCAATCCTTGAAATATATATGCACACACATATATATGTCTATTCATAATATCCCTCCACTTTTTTCTTTCTTTTTTTTCTTTTGCTCCCCTCAAATTTCAGCGGTTTATATATACATGTTTCACTTCTCTCTTTGAAGATGAATTTTCTCATGATATAATATCAAAATGAGATCCTATATATCCATTTCATACATGCCATTATATAAATATATCTATTGTCCCATTCTTGGATATCCTTTTGTTAGGGGCATCTCTTTAACTCTATGTATAGACAAATAGATTTTACATTAATGTTGTCGAGATTCAATATAGAGTTTTTAATTACTATGTAACATATACAAATTCCAACATACAACATTTCTCACATCTATCTTCTTTTATGTTTCCCTTCAAAAATCCTCAAATAATTCATGTAATGCGGTTTCATAATTAGAGGAAATTACAAATTCACTTTTACTTAAAAAAATATATATTAACGAGGCAATATATGTAAACATTAACTATAATTAAAAAAATTAAATTAATTAATAATTAACGTTACTAAAAACAAAAAAAAAATTTGAAATAATAAATACTCTTTTTTTCTTCATCCATCACTACCTCTCAAATCCCATGCAATTCTTGCAAGACTTTGTAAATGACCTGTGTAGTCTTTATTTTTATTTTTAGTACAAATTATTAAATTATTTCTCAAAAATTAAATAAATAATTTAATTAAATAAATAAATAAATAAAATTGAAAGTTTCAAATAAATAAAAATATTAAAATAAAATTATAATAAAACATATTAAATATCAAATTATAACAAATATAAAATTTACCGTACTAATTTAGTAATTTATTATTTTTATTTTTATCTTGTTCATATACATACATAGACGACACTTATCAGCAGCATCCAGACCCACCATAAGAATTCACATCTCCATTTTTTTTTCTTTGGCAAATACCCAATCAAAAGTTTGGGAAAAGACAACCCCATCTTCTGATTTAGCACTTTAAGCTTTTTACTCATTTGGATCTATAGCTACTAAAAAAAAATTGTGAAAGAAAGTACTTTCAGTACTGTAAATTTAAAACGAGTCGACCGATTCATAATAGAAATAAATTTGAGTATTGAACTATGTATCACCTGTATTTTTATTAAAAAATCATCTTACCATTGATTGTTTTATATTCGAGTCATCGATAATGTATCACTTGAAAATACAAATTGATAAGTTATAATTAATTCATATAAGTGTATATATATATATATATATATGGCATGAGACCCACACAGTAGTTGGAAGTGGGGAACATGCCATGAGCAGAAATAGAGTATATGAGGCCAAAGGAAGTAATGCTCTCATTTCATTCCCTCTGCACGCCACCCTTCTTTCCCCTTTCCCCTTTTCATCATCATCCCCACCCTTCGAATCATTCCTCCCAACCTTCTCTTCTCCTCTTCCTTTTTTTCTCTCCTTAATTTTTACCAAATAATACTTGACACCATTCTCGTCAATCTTCTACCAATCAATATATTTTTCAAATTACGATTGATTGTACCAATCAATCGTAATATAATTTTTTAATAAAAATTATAAAATACTCACAATCTGATCCGAATTGAAATATTAAATTTAATTTTAACGGTAATTACATTTTTAAGTTAGATATTAATTATTGTTTTAGCAGGATGAATATTAAATTATCCACAAAGAAAGAGACTAAGCAAACTCTTTAAAAATTGTTTACCACCCACCATAAACAAAAGGTATAACTATCTAAAAAAAAAACACTTTCGTATACTCCATAAACAAAACATCAAGTTTCTTTTTTCTCTTTTCACTTAGTTCCTTTCTCTTTAATCCAAAGCTTCTCTTCTCTTCTCCTTCTATAAATCTCCTCAAACAGTACTACTTTCCTCTTTGCCATTTTTTCTAATAATTTCCCCTGTCAAATCCACAGCGAACAAAACTTTCCTTTCTTCTTCCCATACAAAGCCAGAAAATCAAACTTCTAACCAAATATGGGGACGCTTTTGTCTCTCACTTTGACCATAATTCTTTCGTGGACGTCAGTAGAAATCCAAGCTCAAGGGATCAAATCCTCCCGACTTCTCGATCTTCTCATCAGAGACTACACATTCAAGTCCTTTGACAAACGCTTGAAGACCGGATTGATGCAAACCGTGAATTTGCCGGCTAATTTCTCCGGCATTAAAGTTGATACAGTGAGATTTAGATGCGGCAGTCTTCGCAGATATGGTGCTCAGGTTAAGGAATTCCATCTGGGTATTGGAGTAAACGTGCAGCCATGTGCAGAGCGAGTTATGGTGATTAGACAAAACTTGGGTTCTAACTGGTCGTCTATATACTACGCTAATTACGATCTATCTGGTTATCAACTGGTTTCTCCTGTATTAGGTCTTCTCGCTTATAATGCTGCTGCTGATTTGAATTTCAGTAACCCTTATGAAATCGGTATTCTTGCTGGAAATAACCCTATCACTATAGATTTCAGGAACCATACCCAGATACCGATTTCTCCTGGTGTAAACCCTTTGTGTGTGAGTTTTGAAAATGATGGGAAAGTGACGATGAAAAACCAGGTTTCTCCATATGTTTGTGTTGCGACGAGACATGGCCATTTCGGCTTGGTTATTGAGTCACCGCCGATGTTGCCGGAACGGCGGAGGATTAGCCGGTGGAAAGTGGCAGTGGGGAGCTCCATTGGATCTGCATTGGGTGCCTTTCTTCTGGGTTTGCTTTTGGTTGCCATGTTTGTAAAGGTGAAGAAGAAGGCAAGAATGGTGGAGTTGGAAAGAAGAGCTTATGAAGAGGAAGCTTTGCAGGTTTCAATGGTCGGCCATGTCAGAGTTCCTACTGCATCTGGTACAAGAACAACACCCAACATTGAACATCAAGAGTACTCACGTTATCCTTCTTGAATTCATATTTTCTCTTCTTTTTTTACACTTTTAATGGTTAACTATTCTTTTTGTAATATTAGCAATATTGGTTTTCTAAATGATAGAAATCGATCCAGTCCAACACTGATTCCATATCCTGAAACAGGGGAAACTCTGTTTTCTGAGCTACTCAAATTCATACCATATAGTCATTGTTTCCATATCTTGAAACAGAGGAACTCTGTTTTCTTTTCCCTTTTCTCTGGGTCAGAAATTTTTTTGGAGTATTAACGGATTTAAGCTTTTGAAAAACTGTTTTGAGTTGTAGAAAATCTTTAGCGCTTCCCTTGTAAGCGAGGTCTAATCTCCATTAAAGCCTCATACTGTGAAATTCAATGTTGAGATCAGAAAACTCTGAAATTCAAAACGAAAATGACAAGAAAAAGAATTTCCCGACAGGTCAACCCACATGCCAAGTTCTTGACGACCAACAGATATGATTTTCTAGTAAATAAAGTTGACGATTGAATTTGTAGCACGATGGAAACAAGTCTTAGCTTTTCTGATTTCTATTTCATTTTCTTTTCTTTCTTTTTCCAAAAAGAAAGTAACACATGCGCAGAATAACTTTCTTCTTTATATATTTCTTTTTTCATCGGTGGGTCAAAGGCAATTATGCACAAAGATGCTTCAGTGTAAAGGCTCATTAGGTCTAAAATGTAAAGGTGAAAGTTTTTTTTAAAAAAAAAAATTATGCTCATTTTAGCTTATTATTAGTTTCACGGACCAATAGCAGTAACCGATCATATACTTGATTCAGTAAAATTGATAATTTAATTAATTAACATATTGATTAAGTAGTAAAAATCAAGTTGTATTAAATCTATACGAAACTATTTTGATTACAAACGAAATGAACATTCTGCGACGAATAAATTCTCTCACAATTAAAGCAATTACGACTAATTAATTATATTATTTAATCTTTTAATTTAAAAAAATATTACTAATTACATTCCAAGTAGTGTTGTGCTAGTTGTAAGTTGTACACTTCCTAACCATATTATTTTACCTTGTCCTTCTTTATTATGAAAACTTATTGTTATTAAATAAATTTATTGTTTGTTTTTTTAAAAAATATTATTTCTATATTTTTATATTAAAAAACAACATAAACTATTAACAATAGAAAGGAAAAGGAAATTATTAAATTAGAATTTCTTTTTCAATCTGACGATTAGGACCGTATAGCTTATTTTATTCGATTATACTTCTAAATAAAGATATTTTATTTTTTCTAAAAATATAAGTTAACAACCTTTGTAAATTATTCTAATATATGCATAGCTCCCACTATCTCATTTAAATTCTACTTGCCTATAATATAGAAAATGGACCTTAATAGTTTTAATAAAATCAAGATCCATATAGTCTAAGAGGTGTCGGTGTGCCCTCAAAATGCTTTTATTCATTTATTATCTACATATGAGTTAATCACGTTTCATATGACTTTTGAAATATTTTATCTTATAAGTATAATTGATTGAATAGATGCTCATGTTAAATTAAACTTATTATTTCTATATACGTAAAAATAAAGTTTTCCTACATTGGATAAACCTTATTTATGCAATTATAACAATATTTATGGGTAGGCACGACCAATAGAGGCAGGTAAAAAGTTTTTGACCCATTACTTGCTCCACATGTAAGTATTTTTATCCATCACCTACACATTTGTTTCTTCACCTATTTGTCCTCCATTCCCCCTATTTAATTATTTTATTATTAAAATTTTATACAATTATTCAAATAAATATTTAAAGCTTAATTTGAAATTTTTAAACATCAATCAAGTAAAATATGATTTAAAATAATATTCTAACTATCACGTCCCGGTACTCGATATGAGATGCAATTTCTGCTCATGTCATTTTCATGCAGTGGGTCTATAAAATGTA